GATCACCCGAGGTCAGGAGTTGGAGACCAGCCTGACCAACATGGCGAAAGCCCATCTCTACTAAAAATACAGTTATCAGCCAGGCATGCTGGTGGGAACCTGTAATCCCTACTACTCAGGAGGCTGAGTCAGGAGAATCAACTGAGCCCCAGAGGTGGAGGTTGCAGTGAGCTAAGATCATGCCATTGCACTCCAGCGTGGGCAAGAGTAAGACTTCATCTCAAAAAATAAAAGGCAGGTTCAGGCCCGGTGTGGTAGCTCAGGTTTGTAATCTCAGTACTTTAGGAGGCCAAAACAGGAGGATAATTTTAGCCCAGGAGTTTGAGACCAGCCTGGGCAACACAGTGAGACTTCAGCTCTACAAAAAAAAAAAAAAAAAAATGTTTTAATTTCTTTCTTTTTTTTTGAAGATGGGGTTTCTCCATGATGGCCAGGCTGGTCTTGAACTCCTGACCTCAGGTGATCCACCCACCTCGGCTTCCCAAAGTGCTAGGATTACAGGCATGAGCCACCGTGCCCGGCCAAAAAATTTTTTTGATTAGCTGGTTGTTGGCCTGGCATGGTAGCTCATGCATGTAATCCCAGCACTTTCAGAGACCGAGGCGGGCACATCATCTGAGGTCAGGAGTTTAAGACCAGCCTGGCCAAGATGGTGAAACTCCATCTCTACTAAAAATACAAAAATTAACCAGGCATGTGCCCGTAATCCCAGCTACTTGGGAGGCTGAGGCAAGAGGAATTGCTTGAACATGGGAAGCAGAGGTTGCAGTGAGCCAAGAGTGTGCCATTGCACTGCAGCCTGGGCAGCAAAGCAAGACTGTCTCAACAAAAAAAAATTAGCGGGAGGTGATAGTGTACTCCTGAGGTAGCAGTAACTGGAGGCTAAGGTGGGAGGATCACGTGAACCTAGAAAGTCAAAGCTGCAGTGAGCCATGGTCACACCACTGCAGTCAAGTCTGAGCAACAGAGGTCAGGAGTTCCAGACCAGCCTGGACAACATGGCGAAAACCCGTCTCTACTAAAAATACAAAAATCAGCTGGGTGGGGTGGTGCATACCTGTAATCCCAGCTACTCAGGAGGCTGAGGCAGGAGAATTACTTGAACCTGGTAGGTGGAGGTTGCGGTGAGCCAATATTGTATCACTGCATCCCAGCCTGGGCAACAGAACAAGAGTCAGTCTCAAAACGAAACCAAATACAATACATGTTGAATTGCGTGAAGGAAGGACTGGCACAAGTTCTGGTACACAGGAAATGCTCATATGTTGCAAGAAATAGCCTCTACTTTTTTTTTTTTTTTTTTTTGAGATGGAATCCTGACCTTCTGATCCTCCCACCTTGGCCTCCCAAAGTGGTGGAATTACAGGTGTGAGCCACTGTGCCTGGCCTCAACACGTATTAAACACCTACTGTGTGCCAGGCCTGTGATTTATTCATGCATTATTTATTTAATCCAAGCAGCATTTCTGGAGTGCCTGTGAAATGCTAAGCTCTGGGCTTGTCATTCAATGCAATGTGTGTTTATCAAGCAGCTACTGTATACAGCTGTCCCCATCAGTGCCTCGGTACACAGTAGTTCAGTAATTGCCTGAATGCATGAATGCCCTCAAGGAGCCCCCAGTCTTCCTGCTAAAATGGCCTGTCAATAATTAACTCTGACACACAAAGATAAGGGTAGAATGTGGGTGTGTTTAGAGTGCCGAGCGCCCCTTATCACCTTGTACTGCCAGGCACCTTTCTCAGGGCCTATCTTCTCACCTGGGAACCAGCTCTTTGAAGGTGAGGCCAGGCTGGCCCCTCGCTCACCTACCTGTCCATCCCCGGGCACCCATGGAGGACTTTGCCTGCAGCTCCCACTCAATCAATGCCCACTGTCTGATTACGGCCACGTCCCCGACCACAGTTGTTTCTTCCCTCATACGCCAGGCGAGAGGGCAGCAGCTGGGTTCTAACCCTGGAGCTCTGGCAGACGGCCAGCGCTTCTGACAGGTGCCCTCTCTCAAATTTGGCCTGACTTTTCCAGCTATGAAATGAAAGATTTGACTCTCCTCCTCTTTGACTTCTTTTTTTTTTTTTTATTGAGATGGAGTTTCGCTCTTGTTACCCAGACTGGAGTGCAATGGCGCGATCTCGGCTTACCGCAACCTCCGCCTCCTGGGTTCAAGCAATTCTCCTGCCTCAGCTTCCCGAGTAGCTGGGATTACAGGCGCACACCACCATGCCCAGCTAATTTTCGTATTTTTAGTAGAGACGGGGTTTCACCTTGTTTACCAGGATGGTCTCGATCTCTTGACCTTGTGATCCACCCGCCTCGGCCTCCCAAAGTGCTGGGATTATAGGCGTGAGCCACCGCGCCCGGCCCCTCCTTGACTTCTTAACCCCTTGCCTAGACTCCTATAATGGCAAGTTAATTTTGAAAAAATGTTGCAAAAACCCAGACAATGCATAGAAATAATTAAAGATGGGGCCAGGTGCAGTAGTTCATGCCTGTAATCCCAGCACTTTGGGAGGCTGAGGCCAGCGGATCACCTGAGGTTGGGAGTTCGAGACCAGCCTGACCAACATGGAGGAACCCTGTCTCTACTAAAAGTACAAAATTAGCTAGACATGGTGGCACATGCCTGTGATCCCAGCTACTCAGGAGGCTGAGGCAGGAGAATCACCGGAACCTGGGAGGCGAGGTTGCAGTGAGCCGAGATCATGACATTGCACTCCAGCCTGGGTGACAGAAGGAGACTCCGTTTTAAAAAAAAAGAAAAGTAAAATAGGAAAATAGAATGGATGGAATGGTGGTGGCCAGGGACTGGATGGAGGGGGATATTTTGGGGAGTTAGGTTTAATGGGAACAGAGTTGTTTGGGAGGATCAGGAGGAAAACGTTCCAGAGGTGCCCGGCGGTGACGGTTGCACCCGTGTCCATATGCTTAATGCCATGGCGCTGTACACTTAAAAACGGTGAAAGTGGTAACTTTTACGCTACGTATATTTTGTCACAGTTTTTAAAAAGCAGCAGTGCTCACTCACTCTGGCAGCACGTGTACTAAAATTGGCACCACACAGAGCACGTCCGCATGGCTGTTGCACAGGATGCCAAGCAAGTCAACGAGGCTGAGGCGTTCCACGTTCAAACAGCAGCAAGGGAAGCCACCAATCCCAGCGTCTCTTTGAAATTCCCCATGGCCCCATCCCAGTCTCGTCCTCCTAAAACCCTGAAAGTAGCAGTATGCTTAGTTTTGTATTTTTCGCTTAGTGTACCATTCGGGTTTATTGATTTTTTTGTTTGTTTTGTAAAGTAGTAGTATGCTTAGTTTTGTATTTTTCGCTTAGTGTACCATTCGGGTTTATTGATTTTTTTGTTTGTTTTGTCTTGGCGTGCTTGTTGTTTTTGAGACGAACTCTCACTCTGTCACCCAGCCTGGAGTGCAGTGGCTCAATCTCAGCTCACTGCAACCTCTGCCTCCTGGGTCCAAGTGATTGTCCTCCCTCAGCCTCCCAAGTAGTTGGCATTTTAGCTGCATGACACCGTGCCCAGCTAATTTTTGTAGTTTTAGTAGAGACAGGGATTCACCATGTTGGCCAGGATGGTCTTGAACTCCTGACCTCAGGTGATCCGCCTGCCTCGGCCTCTCAGAGTGCTGGGATTACAGGCATGAGCCACCGTGCCTGGCCTCTGTAGGGCCTTTTTTTTACAGGCATGAGCCACTGTGCCTGGCAAATTTGTGGTTTTTTGTTTTGTTTTTTGAGATGGAGTCCCGCTCTGTTGCCCAGGCTGGAGTGCAGTGATGCAATCTCAGCTCCCTACCTCTGTCTCCCAGGTTCGAGTGATTCTTCTGCTTCAGCCTCCCAAGTAGCTGGGACTACAGGCGTGCACCACCACACCCAGCTAATTTTTGTATTTTTAGTAGAGACAGTGTTTCAACATATTGGTCAGGCTGATCTTAAACTCCTGAGTTCATGATCCACCTGCCTCAGCCTCCCAAAATGCTGGGATTACAGGTGTGAGCCACCTCGCCCAGCCTTTGTTTTGTTTTCGAGACAGAGTCTCACTCTGTCGCCCAGGCTGGAGTGCAGTGGCATAATCATGGCTCACCGTAACCTCTGCCTCCCAGGTTCAAGCAATTCTTCTGCCTCAGCATCCCGAGTAGCTGGTGCACCCCACTACACCTAGCTAATTTGTGTATTTTAGGGTTGTAAGGACAAGTTTTTGCCATGTTGGCCAGGCTGGTCTAGAACTCCTGACCTCGGGTGATTCCCCCTACCTCAGCCTCCCACAGTGCTGGGATTACAGGTGGGCGTGAGCCACCTTGGCTGGTGAATTTGTGTTGTTTTAAGTCACTAAAATTTATGATAATTTCTTACAGCAGCAATGGGAAACTAATATAAGCAAGAAAGGACATATCAGATTTATGTCTCAAAAAGCTATTTCTGGTTGCTGTTACAGAACGGCTTTAGTGGGGTCAGTGGAAGCAGAAGCCCAGGCGGATAACTGCAGACGTGTGGGCGGGCAAGGATGGCAGCCCCAGTGCGATGGAAGGGGCCGCAGGATGGAAGAGCTCAGATCTCAAGAAAACGCTAGGGGCTAGAACTCACTGGGCTTATTGATGAATTGGATGTAGTGGGGGAAGGGGACAGTCTACGAAAGTGACTGGAGCATGACTCCTAGGGTGATCAGCACTCCGGATTGCTCCAGCTTCTCTGGGGCCTCACAGCACACGGCTTTTGACAGACTGTTCCCAGGATGCAGGTGTTTTTATGTGATTAGGCTGGAACTGTTCTCTGTGAAATAAATGCCCTCAGTCTAAAGGGCTTTTACGAGCCAGGGCAGGGGATTAAAGGCAGCCGGGCTGTGGAGAAATCCCAGGGTCAGGAGACAGCTGAGCATGGAGACTTTTAATCTGAACCTTAAACGTTTTTATTTTCCACTCCTTGAACTCAGGGTGTCACTTTAAATACATGTTTAGCAACATCAGCTGTTCTATTTTTCTTTTTAATTATACAAAGAGATCCTGGAGGAGGCTCAGCCCCAGGCTGGAGGGGGCAAGGGAAGTTTGGCAACGGCGGGAGGCAGAGAAACCGACTCAACATCGAGTGGATTTGAAATCCTTTTGAGGGAGCACAGAGGCCAAACTTTGAGCCACCCTGAACTTGGTAAGAGCGGCCCTGACTCAGGATTTCTAAAAGGAGACTGACAGACTCACCAGCTTAGAATGGAGGGAGGACAGATGGACACGTCTCCAAGACAAAAATATCACCAGCCCTAGCTCTGGTACCTTGAATTTATTCCCAGGTCCTGTCCTGTTAGCTCTTCTCTTTCTCTCTTTGTCTGTCTCTCTTTGTCTTTCTTTCTCTTGTTTCTTTTCTTCTCTCTCTCCCTTCCTTTTTCTTTTTCTTTTTTTGAGACGGAGTCTCGCTCTGTTGCCCAGGCTGTAGTGCAATGGTGCCATCTTGGCTCACTGCAGCCTCTGCCTCCTGGGTTCAGATGATTATTCTGCCTCAGCCTCCCGAGTACTTGGGACTACAGGCACATGCCACCATGCCTGGCTAATTTTTTTGTGTTTTTAGTAGAGACAGGGTTTCACCATGTTGCCCAGACTGGTCTCGAACCCCTGGACTCAAGCGATCCTCTCACCTCAGCCTCCCAAAGTGCTGGGATTACAGGAGTGAGCCACTGCACCTGGCCCTGTTACCGCCTTTCATCCTCTGAGCAGAAAACAGCTAACTAGGTTGTTCATGACATCTACGGGGTACTCCGTACTGTATGCTGGCTGCTGGGCTCACCTGCTTACATGTGTTACCCTGTTGTAGGCAGTCAGCTATTGTATAACTAGGTGCTATCATTATCCCCATTTTCTAGATGGGGAATCTGGGCTCCAGAGAGAATGGATGGAAACCCACTCCCCAGTGTTAGACCTGCACTTCTTTGCCCTCAGACCCCTCCCTTGCCTCTCTCCTGCTTTGCGCCAGATCATAGAGAGGCCAACCCATCAATCATCTGGCTTCCTGCACAAATGGACCATCTTGGAGACTGTGACAGGAGCCTAGTGGGTGGGAGGAGCCTGGTGGGTGGGAGGAGCCTGGTGGGTGGAGGAGCCTGGTGGTAGGACAGGGGAATCCAGGGTGTTCCTCCCCCTCTGCCTCAGGTGGGATCTCCAGCTCCACCTTCCACCAAATAGGCCCACTGTGGCTCTGGCTTCTACCTGGAGACTCCAGTCCCTCTTGGGTACCAGAAACACCACCCCCTGCCTCTGTCCCTCCAACCCCAGGGGTGGTGGCAGCCCTCCTGTTGGGGCTAACCTGGGGGCTTCCCCTCCCCTGCCTGCCTTTTCCCATAATTCTTGCATTACCCCTGGAGCAATTCTTGGGATAAATTCTCCTAGTCTGGTATCTGTTTATCCTGGTCAGATTTTCACAGATACACTACCTTTGCTAAAGACTGGCAGATCGGCCAATTCATTCAATCTGGAAGGAGGCAATCCTCTCTCTGAGCACAGCACATCCCACGAGAGGGAAGATTGGAACCACCATTTACTGAGCACTGTGCTAATTGCCAACAACTGTTCTTTCGCGGAACACTCGTAACAAGCTCTTCTGCCAAGTCTCATCAATATTCCCCTTTGACAGATGGGGCTCAGAGAGGCTGGGGTGGTTGCCCAAAGTGGCACAGTTACAAACTGACAAAACTGGGATTTAAATCCGAGAGTGCCTAGCTCCAAAGTCTGCATGGTGTTCTAATCTCATCTGAACATGCTTGCAGCCCCTGCTGAGCCCATTAGAACTCAGCTTCCTAGACTGGGCACGGTGGCTCAAGCCTGTAATCCGAGCACTTTGGGAGGCCAAGGCAGGTGGATCACGAGGTCAAGAGATCGAGACCATCCTGGTCAATGTGGTGAAACCCCGTCTCTACTAAAAATACAAAAAGTTAGCTGGGCATGGTGGTGCGTGCCTGTAATCCCAGCTACTCGAGAGGCTGAGGCAGGAGAATTGCCTGAACCCAGGAGGCGGAGGTTGCGGTGAGCCGAGATCACGCCATTGCACTCCAGCCTGGGTAACAAGAGCGAAACTGCGTCTCGGGGTGGGGGCGGGGGGAAGAACTCAGCTTCCTTGGCTGGCTGAAGACCCCAACCCAAATCACTCCAGGCTCCTCGTGTTCCTTTCTTTTCTTTTCTTTTTTTTTGAGACGGAGTTTCGCTCTTGACCCAGGAGGTAGAGGTTGCAGTGAACTAAGATCACGCCACTGTACTCCAGCCTGTAATCCCAGCACTTTGGGAGGCCGAGATGTCCCAAAGTTTTAAAGTCAGGTAGATCCACTCCTACCACTGTTCTCCAGCCTCCCAAAGTGCTGGGATTACAGGCTTGAGCCACTGTGCCCGGCCTAGGAAGCTGAGTTCTAATGGGCTCAGCAGGGACTGCAAGCGTGTTCAGATGAGATTAGAACATCATGCAGACTTTGGATCGAGACGGTCTCGATCTCTTGACTTCGTGATCCACCCGCCTCGGCCTCCCAAAGTGCTGGGATTATAAACTTGAGCCACCGTGCCTGGCCCTTTCTTTTCTTTTCTTTTTTTCTGAAACAGTGTCTTGCTCTGTCACCCAGGCTGGAGTGCAATGGCATGATCTCTGTTAACCACAACCTCCGCCTCTTGGGTTCAAGTGATTCTCCTGCCTCAGCCTCCAAAGCAGCTGGAATTACAGGCACATGCCACCATGCTCAGCTATTTTTTTGTTTTGTTTTGTTTTGTCTTTTTAGTAGAGACGAGGTTTCACCACGTTGGCCAGGCTGGTCTCAAACTCCTGACCTCATGATCCACCTGTCTCAGCCTACCAAAGTACTGGGATTACAGGCATGAGCCACTGCACCTGGCCTTTTTTTTTTTTTTTTTTTGGTCACTCTGTCACACAGGCTGGAGTACAGTGGCATGATCTTAGTTCACTGCAACCTCTACCTCCTGGGTTCAAAGGATTCTCCTGCCTCAGCCTCCCAGGTAGCTGGGACTACAGGTACACACCACCATGCCCGGCTAACTTTTTTATTTTTTAATAGAGACAGGGTTTCGTCATGTTGGCCAGGCTGGTCTCAAACTCCTGATCTCAGGTGATGATCCACCAACCTTGGCCTCCCAAAGTGCTGGGATTACAGGCGTGAGCAACTGTGCCCAGTGGTTTTGTCTTTTTTTTGTTTTTTGTTTTGAGATGGAGTCTCGCTCTGTCACCCAGGCTGGAGTGCAGAGTCGAGATTTTGGTGTGAGCTACTGCACCTGGCCTTAAAATAAGTTTTAAAGTCACATAGAAGTAAGAAGTAAGACTTTCAACTTGTTCCCTCCCTTCCTTCCTCCCTTCCTTCTTTTATTTGACAGGCGTTTCGGTTTGTTGTCCAGGGTTTCATACTGTCACCAAGGCTCTAGTGCAGTGGCATGATCACGGCTCAGTGCAGCTTCGACCTCATGGGCTCAAGCGATCCTCCTGCCTCAGACTCCTGAGTAGCTAGGACCCCAAACAAGAGCCACTGCTCCTTGCAAACTTCACATTTCCCCTTTTTATAATGACACCAGTAATACTGGAAGAGGGCTGTATGACTCCATTCTCTCACTGCTATAAAGAAGTACCAGGCCGGCGCGGTGGCTCATGCCTGTAATCCCAGCACTTTGGAAGGCTGAGGCAGTTGAATTGCCCTAGGTCAGGAATTCAAGACAAGCCTGGCCAACATGGTGAAACCCCATCTCTACTAAAAATACAAAACATTAGCTGAGTGTTGTGGCAGGCTCCTGTAATCCCAGCTACTTGGGAGGCTGAGGCGGGAGAATTGCTTGAACCCAGGAGCCAGAGGTTACAATGAGCTGAGACTGTACCATTGCACTCCAGCCTGGGCGGCACAGCAAAACTCCATCTCAAAAAAAAAAAAAGAAAGAAAGAAATACCTAAGGCTGGGCACCATGGCTCATGCCTATAATCCCAGCATTTTGGGAGGCTGAGGCAGGCGGATCATTTGAGGCCAGGAGTTCGAGACCAGCCTGGCCAACATGGTGAAACCCCCCCCTCTACTAAAAATATAAAAATTAGCTGGGCATGTTGATGCACGCCTGTAGTCCCAGACACTCAGGAGGGTGAGGCAGGAGAATCACTTGAACCTTGGAGGCAGAGGTTGCAGTGAAGCGAGATCAAGCCACTGCACTCCAGCCTGGGAGACAGAGTGGGACTCCATCTCAAAAAAAAGAAATACCTGAAACTCAGTAAATTATAAAGAAAAGAGGATGAGCCCGGCACAGTGGCTCAAGCCTGTAATCCCAGCACTTTGGGAGGCCGAGGCGGGTGGATCACGGGGTTAAGAGATCGAGACTATCCTGGTCAACATGGTGAAACCCCGTCTCTACTAAAAATATACAAAAAATTAGCTGGGCATGGTGGCACGTGCCTGTAATCCCAGCTACTCGGGAGGCTGAGGCAGGAGAATTGCCTGAACCCAGGAGGTGGAGGTTGCGGTGAGCCGAGATCGCACCATTACACTCCAGCCTGGGTAACAAGAGCAAAACTCTGTCTCAAAAAAAAAAAAAAAAAAAAAAAGGTGAATATTTTCACGACCTTGTGGTTGGCAAAGATTTCTTTTTTTTTTTTTTTTTGAGACAGAGTCTCACTCTATGGCCCAGGCTGGAGTGCAGTAATGCAATCTCGGCTCATTGCAACCTTCATCTCCCAGGTTCAGGTGATTCTCATGCCTCAACCTCCTGAGTAGCTAGGATTACAAGGGCCTGCTACCACACCTGGCTAAATTATTTTTTTTGAGACAGAGTTTCATTCTTGTTACCTAGGCTGGAGTGCAATGGCGCGATCTCCGCTCACCACAACCTCCGCCTCCTGGGTTCAGGCAATTCTCCTGCCTCAGCCTCCTGAGTAGCTGGGATTACAGGCACGGACCACCATGCCCAGCTAATTTTTTTTTTTTTTTTTAGTAGAGACGGGGTTTCACCATGTTGACCAGGATGGTCTCGATCTCTTGACCTTGTGATCCACCCACCTCGGCCTCCCAAAGTGCTGGGATTACAGGCTTGAGCCACCGAGCCCGGCCAAATTTTTTTTTTTTTTTTTTTTAAGAGATGGGGTTTCACCATGTTGGCCAGGCTGGTCTTGAATTCCTAACCTTAGGTGATCCACCCGCCTTGGCCTCCTAAAGTGCTGGGATTACAAGTATGAGCCACCACGACTGGCCTAAATTTTGTATTTTTAGTAGAGATGGGGTTTCACCATGTTGGCCAGGCTTGTCTCAAACTCCTGACCCCAGGTGATCCGCCCGCCTCAGTCCCCCAAAGTGCTGAGATTACAGATGTGAGTCACTGCATCCTGTCAGCAAAGACTTCTTATACAGGATGGAAAAAGTTCTTACTTTTAAAGGCATGAGGCTGGGCGCAGTGGCCCACGCCTATAATCCCAGCACTTTGAGAGGCCAAGGCAGGCAGATCACAGGGTCAGCAGTTAGAGACCAGCCTGGCCAATCTGGTGAAACTCTGTCTCTACTACAAACACACACACAAAAATTAGCCTGGCGTGGTGGTGTGTGCTTGTAATCCCATCTACTCGGGAGGCTGAGGCAGGAGAATTGCTTGAACTCAGGATGTGGAGGTTACAGTGAGCCGAGACTATGCCACTGCATTCCAGCCTGCGCGACAGAGTGAGACTGTCTCAAAAATTTAAAATATAAAATAAAAAAAAAAATTAAAGGCAGCGACACAAACACAGACCCAACAAAGCCTTCTGACCAGTGAGGAAGTAGGAGTGAGGGGATGAAGAGTGAGCCCTATAAGCCCAGAAACTGGGGAGCAAGGAGAGAGTTCACTCCCCTGGCATGGTTTAAGCTTCAGACACAGAGAACCATTTTGAGAGCAACACCAGAGCTCACCAACCCGGCCCATTCTGCATTTTTTTTCTTTTGAGACAGAGTTTCGCTGTTGTTACCCAGACTGGAGTGCAATGGCACGATCTCGGCTCACCGCAACCTCCGCCTTCTGGGTTCAAGCAATTCTCCTGCCTCAGCCTCCCAAGTAGCTGGGACTACAGGCGCGCACCACCATGCCCAGGTAATTTTCGTATTTTTAATAGAGACGGGGTTTCACCATGTTGACCAGGACGGTCTCGATCTCTTGACCTCGTGATCTACCCGCCTCGGCCTCCCAAAGGGCTGGGATTATAGGCGTTTGAGCCACCGTGCCCGGCCGTTATTTTTTATTTTCTTTTTGAGACTGAGTCTCGCTCTGTTGCCAGGCTGGAATGCAGTGGCATGATCTCAGCTCACTGCAACTTCCACCTCCCAGGTTCAAGTGATTCTCCTGCCTTGGCCTCCCGAGTAGCTGGGACTAGAGGTGTGCACTACTATGCAAACTAATTTTTGTATTTTTAGTGGAGATGGGGTATCACCTTTTTGGCCAGGCTGGTCTTGAACTCCTGACCTCAAGTGATCTGCCCTCCTTGGATTCCCAAAGTGCTGGGATTACAGGCATGAGCCACTGTGCCTCCATTTTGCGTTTGGTAACCAGCCCCCCGACAGTGTCTCACTTGGTTTCCAGCCTCCTGCATCCTAATTCTTTGACCATGAAAACCTTCAAGATCACTCACAAAAGCTGCCTCCCAGATGTCTTGTGGAGCTGGCACAGGGCTGGCCGGGAGAGGGATTCTAAGTCAGGACACACGGAAGGACTTACAGGGAAGCTGCCACTAGCTCCATACAAGGACAACTTTTGAAGTATCAAGACAACCGGTCAGTCATGCTCAGCTTCTAGAAGGAGTGAGCTTCCTGTCACCAGGGGTATGAGAACATTGTAGTAGCCAGGCTTGGTGGTGCATGCCTGATGAGCCCAGGAGTCCGAATGCAGCCTGGGCAACACAATGAGACCCCTGTCTCCCCACCACCAAAAGAAAAGGGTAGGGAAAAGTTACTAACCATGGACCCCTCCAGGATCCTGGGGCAGGAGGCAGGGATGGCCCAGACACCCCACCCGTGTCTGGATATTTTATTACTTCTGATCTGTGCAGATTGGGAAATTCAAACCACAGAGAATTAGGAGAGGAGTGAGGGTGGTGACATAGGAGCTGGAGAGAGGAAACCCTCTCCACCCTAAAGCCCCTTCTGAGTCACCACTCCCAGACCCTCTGTTCCTCTTAAATCAGCAGATCTCTCCTCCCAGCTTCCAGCCTCTTTCCCCTCCAGAACTCAGGACCCCTTAGCTGCGAAATGTTGTGTGTTCCTAGTCCTGAACTGGGGCTTTCTGGGAACCAAGGACATTGCATTATTTTGTTCATTGAACCTGTTTCCATTGACAGTAGCCAGTGGGAGGCCCTGAGGTGATAGCGATGTGATTTATTGATTCATTGATTGAGATAGAGTCTTCCTCTGTTGCCAAGGCTGAAGTTCAGTGGCAGGATCTCAGTTCACTGCAACTTCCACCTCCCGGGTTCAAGCAATTCTGTCTCCGCCTCCGGAGGAGCTGGTATTATAGGGCCGGCCATCACACCAAGCTAGTTTCTTTCTTCCTTTTTTTTTTTTTAACACAGGGTCTTGCTGTCACCCAGGCTGGAGTCCAGTGGTGTGATCTCTGCTCACCGCAACCTCCGCCCCTCTAGAGTCAAGCACTTCTGCCTCAGCCTCCTAAGTAGTGGGGATTATAGGCACGTACCACCAAGCCCGGCCAATTTTTGTATTTTTAGTAGAAATGAAGTTTCACCATGTTGACCAGGCTTGTCTTGAACTGACCTTGTGATCCACCCGCCTTAGCCTCCCAAAGTGCTGGAATTACAGCTATGAGCCACTGTGCCTGACCAAATTTTAAACTTTTTAGTGGAGACAGTTTTGCCATGTTGGCCAGGCTGGTCTCGAACTCCTGACCTCAAGTGATCCACCTCGGCCTCCCAAAGCGTTGGGATTATAGGCATAAGTCACTGCACCCAGCTGCACCACAACGAAATAATTAATTAATAAATTACAGGCATTATTATTTATTTAGTTTATTTATTTGAGACAAGATCTCCCCTTATTGTCTAAGTTGGAGGACGGGGTGCAATCACTGCAGCCTCCATCACAAGAAGCTGGGAGTACAGGCTCAGGCCACCATGCCTGGCTAATTTGTTTATTTATTTATTTTGAGATGGAGTTTCTCTTTGTTGCCCAAGCTGGAGTCCAGTGGCGCAATCTTGGCTCACTGCAACCTCTGCGTCCCAAGTTCAAGCCATTCTCCTGCCTCAGCCTCCCAAGTAGCTGGGACAACAGGTGCTATCTGAAAAAAAAGGCCATCTAAAAAAAAGACAGAGTCTCACTCTTTTACCATGTTGGTCAGGCTGGTCTTAAACTCCTGACCTCGTGATCTGCCTGCCTCAGCCTCCCAAAGTGCTGGGATTACAGGCGTCAGCCATGGTGCCTAGTGAGACTCCATCTTAAAAAAATAAATAAATAAAATAAAATGTTTAAACAGGCTGGGCACAGTGGCTCATGCTTGTAATTCTAGCACTTTGGGAGGCCCACATAGGAGGATCCCTCAACCCCAGGAGTTTGAGACCAGCATGAGCAACATGGTGAGATGCTGTCACTATTTATTTATTTATTCATTCATTCATTTGAGACAGAGTCTCCCTCTGTCACCCAGGCTGGAGTCCAGTGGTTTGATCTCCACTCATTGCAACCTTTACCTCCTGGGTTCAATCGTTTCTCCTGCCTCAGCCTCCCTAGTTGCGGGGATTACAGGCATATTCCACCACGCCTGGCTAATTTTTTTTTTATTTTTGAGACGGAGTTTCGCTGTTGTTACCCAGACTGGAGTGCAATGGCATGATCTCGGCTCACCGCAACCTCCGCCTTCTGGGTTCAAGCAATTCTCCTGCCTCAGCCTCCGGAGTAGCTGGGACTACAGGCACGCACCACCATGCCCAGCTAATTTTTGTATTTTTAGTAGAGACGGGGTTTCACCTTGTTGACCAGGATGGTCTCGATCTCTTGACCTCGTGATCCGCCCGCCTCAGCCTCCCAAAGTGCTGGGATTACAGGCTTGAGCCACCGCGCCCGGCCATTTTTTTGTATTTTTAGTAGGGATAGGGGTTTCACCAAGTTGGCCAGGCTGGTCTAGACCTCCTGACCTTAGGTGACCCACCTGCCTTGGCCTCCCAAAGCGCTGTGGTGACAGGTGTGAGCCTCCACACCCAGCCACACTTTTGTTTTTAATGCTTAAACAGATGAAGGCACATACATAAACTAGATGATTTCAGATGCTATAGTGGTCACAGGTATAAAGGGAAGAAATCAAGTTGAGGTGACAGATTGTGACGCTGGGGCTACTTCAGTAGAGAGGGAAGGTCTCTCTGGAGGTGCTATTTGAGCTGAGACACAAATGCTGAGCAAAAGGGATTAGAAGTACAAAAGCCACCCAAGAAACAAGGCCAATGGAGTGGGATTTCAAATTCCAAGTCCCCCATCTTCATTTTTGTTGCACCTTTTTTTTTTTCTCTCTCGTTTTTTTTTTTAAGACGAGGTTTCACTATGTTGGTCAGGCTGGTCTTGAACTCCCAACCTCAGGTGATCCGCCCACCTTGGCCTCCGAAGTGCTTGGATTACAGGCGTGAGCCACCACGCCCAGCCTTTTTTTCTCTTTTTTTGAGATAGAGTCTTGGCTGGAGTGCAGTGGCACTCTCGGCTCACTGCAACCTCTGCCTCCCGGGTTCAAGCAATAATCCTGCTTCAGCCTCCCAAGTAGCTGGATTTACAGGCGTGTGCCACCCCACACCTGGCTAATTTTTGTATTTTTCTAGTAGAGACAGGGGTTTCACAATGTTGGCAAGGCTGGTCTCGAACTCCTGACCTTGTGATGTGCACGCCTCAGCCTCCCAAAGGGCTGAGATTACAGGCGTGAACCACCGTGCCCCACCCCCATTTTCATTTCAAAAACGCCAATAAAATCCTCTGGGGGAGCCAGAGACTTTTTTGGGGTTGAAGTTTTCAACCTCTAACGGTTGGGTAGGGGCACGCCTCCTAGTGGCGAGAAGAGTTAAGTTTCACCTCGCTGACCTGCAATGTCACATGCTTGTCACTCATTCCTGTCTCTCCCATATTTATTCACTCAACAAAAAATTAGAGCACGGATTGTGTGCCAAGGAATATTCTAGATGCTGAGGATGGAGCTATGAAGCTGACAGTAAAGGTCCCTGTCCTGGAGCTGCTCTCCTAGGAGATATTCCCTAGCACAGTCCCTGCACACGCCCCTACCTCACCTCTGCTCCCCAAAATTGTCCTTCCGATGCTCCAACAGCCAAATATCCCTGCTTCAGAGTCTTGGCATGAGCAGTTCTTTCGCTACCCTGGAAAGCTAAATACTGTCTGTTTGCATGGCGGGCTCTGGTCTCAGCTAAAATGTGAGCTAAGTCAGAAAGGTGTGACCTTTATTTCCTGTCCTTCTCCACCCCCCACTGATACATAAGATTCCATGAAGGTTATCATTTTCCTGGAATCCTCAACATAGCACTTAATAGTTGCTCAGAAGACAGCTGCTGAATGGGTTTGAGCATTCACTGGTTCAAAAAATATCAGCAACTGGTCACCCCAGTACATATCAGATGCTGGTGAACACAGGTGAACAAGGTGGTCAAGAGACCAAAAAATCCCTACCAAGAAAGAAAGAAAAGAAAGAAAGAAAAAGCTCCCTGCCCTGAATCTGTGTATTTTAAAATTAAAATTTCAGCTCCCGCATTATTCACTTCCTTTAGCCTGCTTTACTTACTTACTTACTTATTTTTGAGACGGAGTTTCACTCTCTTCACCCAGGCTAAGGCTGGAGTGTAATGGCGCGACCTCGGCTCACCGCAACCCCCGTCTCCCAAATACAAGCGATGATTCTCCTGCCTCAGCCTCCCGAGCAGCTGGATTACAGGCGCCCGCCACCACGCCCAGCTAATTTTTGTATTTTTAGTAGAGAGAGGGTTTCACTATGTTGGCCAGGCTTGTCTTGAACTCCTGATTTCAGGTGATCCACCCGCCTCGGCCTCCCAAAGTGCCGGGATTAAAGGCGTGAACCACCTCGCCCGGCCGCTTTATTTTTTCTACACTTTCACTTTCTAAACTATTATGAAATGGGCTCATTGGTGTTTGTGTGTCTTCCCCTCCAGAACGCAGGCTCCAAGAGGGCACAGGATTTTGTCCATCTCGTTCACCACCCTACCCAGCCTCAGCACCTAGACTAGCGTTGGCACGCAGTGAGCGCCAAATAAACTCTAGACCTCGGCCCGCTCTTTTCCTACAGACCTTGAACCAACTTGTTCCAAAGGGGACACGGGCCTCAGGAGGCGCCCAGAGGTGACCTCAGGCGGCCCGACCAAGAAGTCCGCGCTCCGGGGGCAGGGCCACCGGAGCAGCTGCGGAGAGGGGCGGCGCCAGGAGCCGGAGCGGGAGCACTACAAGTCCCGGGACAGCCCGGCGCTTCCAGGAAGAGGCGGGGGCGGCGGCACTCCCGGGACCGTGGGCGGTGCCGTCGGAGCGGGGGGGGGGGGGTCACGTGACGCCCACAATCTCGCCCACCTCCGTGGGCGGGGCCGAGGTGGGCGGGGAGCATGCAAAACAGTCTGGGGCGGCGGCCAATCGCGGCGCGCGCCGGGGTCCCGGCCCCGGGGATCCGGGACGCCGCCCGCACGCAGGCTCGGGTCGCTGCCACCGGGGGGCTCTTGCCAGCGGCGCCGCGGGCCTGCGAGCTGGGGCACCGGGCACTCCTTCAACCTCGTCCTCCTCGTCCTGTGCGGCCGGCCGGGTGAGGCCGGGCCCGCGTGGGGGGCAGGCGGCGCCCGGCCCGGCCCGCGCCTCGGCGGCGTGCTCCATGCATCCGGAGCCCGCCCCGCCCCCGAGCCGCAGCAGCCCGGAGCTTCCCCCGAGCGGCGGCAGCACCACCAGCGGCAGCCGCCGGAGCCGCCGCCGCAGCGGGGACGGGGAGCCCCCGGGGTCCCCTCCGCCGCCGCCCGCCCTCACCTACCCGGACTGGATCGGCCAGAGTTACTCCGAGGTGATGAGCCTCAACGAGCACTCCATGCAGGCGCTGTCCTGGCGCAAGCTCTACTTGAGCCGCGCCAAGCTCAAAGCCTCCAGCCGGACCTCGGCGCTGCTCTCCGGCTTCGCCATGGTGAGCTGGCCGCCCTACCCTCCCCCATCTGCTGTCCCCGCCGCTCCCGCCCGCAGCCCCGACGGGGCCCGCTGGGGAGCGGGCTGGGCGGGCCGGGCGGGCCGGGTGAAGGGAAGAGCGGGTAGAAGCGGCGGTGCGCGCTGAGAAGGGGCAGAGGCGCTGGCTGTGAGCACAGGTGGGCGCCAGGTGACTCCGTTCTGGGGTGCTGACCAGCCATGCCGGAGTACCGGCTTGGGGGACTCCGGTGCCTGCACATGGCCACACCTGCTCCAGCCAGAGTGGTAATGCATCCCGAAGTTAGCTCTGTAAGAACCCGCCCCACGTGTGTGCAGAGGGGAAAGTCAGGACTCAAAGGCTCGAACCCATCTGGGGGCGTCAGGAGGTGGGGACGAAGAGAAAGACACCCCCCCTTGCCCCCACACCTGCGGCTGGAAGATATTGGCCGTGTTCTTTTATCACCTCCTAGAGGGGATTTCCTGACACCCCTTTTCCACCGCATTTTCCGAGAGCCTCAGCCTGGGGGTTTGACAACCAGTCCCCACCGTCAGTTTTTTTCTCCAGAAACTTGCCACTGAGTCACTGCGTGTGGGGGAGGAGGGAGGGACGTGTTCCGGTTGAATGGGCTCTTTCTTTTCTTCCGAGACGGAGTGTTGCACTGTCGCCCAGGCTAGAGTTCAGTGGCACGATCTCGGCTCACTACAACCTCTGCCGCCCGGGTTCTATCAATTTTCTTGCCTCAGCCTCCCGAGCAGCTGGGATTACAGGCAGGTGCCACCACGCCCGGCTAATTTTTGTATTCTTCGTGGAGACGGGGTTTCACCATGTCGGCCAGGCTGGTCCTGAACTCTTGACCTCGTGATCTGCCTGCCTCGGTCTCTCAAAGTGCTGGGATTACAGGCGTGAGCCACCGCGCCCGGCCCAACGGGCTCCTTGATCTAGGAGCTAGTCATGCTTTCCTTCCCCCACATCCCAAGGAGCTGGAGTGCGAGGCCTCTGAGGTGTGAGGTGGGTGAGGGCGTGGATGGGCCTGAGAAGTGGCTCTGGGGATATCTTAAGGCTTAGCATCTTGGTATTTCTCTGGCGCAGGTCACTATATAATAACTACATTATTATCACTTTCGGTGATATCAGCCTGTGTGAATGGACTCTGCCTCCCCGCCCCCCAGTTCGGTAGACCAGAGCACTCCTGCCCCCGCCACAAGTGAGCTAAGCCCTTGGCCTTGAGGCAGGGAGTGGCTGCACCCTTCGTGTTTTCTTGGGAAGGGAGTGTGTCTGGGACTCTCCCTGCTTTGCCTTGCAGCAGAGCCTGAATTTTTTAGAGGCCCAGAGCACGCTGGGCAGGGAGATGGGGAGTGGGAAGCAGCCCTTGCTGCTGCTGCCTTTGTGACCTCAGGCAGCTCACTCTCCCTTTCTGGGCCTCATTTCCTGAATCTGTCAAAGAAGGCTGCTACTCACAAATTTCTCTGACTTTGAGAATAAAATTGAGGGAGGCCCTGAGAGGAAATGAGGGAGTGTGTTCGTATGAAGGGACAGCACTCCCGTTTTTAGTTTAGATAGGATTTGAAACTAACAGAATTCTGTCCTAAGAGACCAGGTTCTGCCTTGTGCCTGGAGAATCTCTGAAAAGACCTGGCATTTGCTAAACACTCACTCTGCTGGGTGCCTTAACACCCGGGCTTACTCCTCAGCAATTCTCTATGGTGATTTTGTCAAAGGGCTTTCCCAAGACCGCACAGCCAGTCCTGGGGAGCGGGATTTGAACTCGGGTCTGCTGGCATTCAGAACTTGCTCAGGCACTTGTTCCCATTGCCGTCTATAGGAACTCTGATAGATGTCCAGCCACGGACATGTTAGGACAGGCCTAGAAAATGAGAAACAGGACAAAAGAGTTTCTTTTAAGCCAAAGAAACTTATAATTGCACAGCAAGGGAGCTACCAGTCATCAGCCTTTCCCTGCAGCACTCCAGGTTTAAGGTAATACTTCCCCCTTTTCTTGTCATGAGTTTAGAACTGCCCCAGGCCCCCTCACTCCTGAGGGATGAGAACCAGATGAATGACACTTTCCTGCCTTCTCAAGTCCTCTCTTCCTCCCGAAGACAGTCCTCATGGTCAAGTGTAACCTCCTTCCTCTTGCTAAAAACAGCGTGGGGAAGTCAGGAGACTGGGGCAGCCAATGGCATGGAGTGGGCCTTGGCCTACCCAGTCTGTCTCTTGGGGACTTTTTATTTTCCCCTGCCTGGGTGGAGAAGGCTTCCCAGGGATTCTGCTGATGGAATCCCCAAAGTTCTGCAGGCAGGGAAGGATGGAACCCAATGACACTATCCATTCCACAGTTATAAGAGGGTAACTGGATGTACCAGGAAGCTGGAAATCTATAGGAGAGATGGGATTGGGTACAGGATGGGGGTCCTGCCATATCCCACCCCATCTTAGACGCCTAGCCTGTAAGTGAGCTTCAGAAAGAAGGGGGTGCCAGCTGCCCCAATGCCATGGTAACAGAGTGACAAGTTCCTGGATTACTCTCGCTTGGCCTATGAGTCAGCACAACCAACTTCCTGCCCCCAGAGGGCTTCCTTCCCAGAGACCTGGAAAGTCAGAGAAACTTACTTGGCCTTTGGTCGCCAAGGGGGTAGGGTCCTCCACAAAGTCTGGAGAGAATTGAGAGATTCCCTACTTCATGGGTAGAAGGGCCTGGCCAGGTGGCCATGAAGTGTTGGGGATGGGCAGTGGGGGACCTCAGGCAAGTGGCTTTACCCCTTTGATGCCAGTTTTCTTTTGTTTATGATGCCAGTTTTCTTATGCATACGGAGATGGCAGATATCCTGCTGTCCCATGGACTTGCATGAAGATTCATTATGAGGCCAGACTGGGCCCATGAAACATTGGGGAATTTTCAGGGTCTGATGTTGCACCCTTGCCTGGACCCTCTCTGATCTGCAGACAAGATTCTTGCTGCAGATGGAGTTTCTAGGAACGTTGCGCACCATCCTCCAAACTAGCAAGAGATACAAAGCAAGGGGCCTTGGATATAGCATAGGATCAGCATCCTGTCCAGTTCCTTGAGCTGAGTGTACTCTTGTGGGCTTTGATTCAGGCCCTCTGTGCCTCAGTTTACAGTTCATCGAGAGGCAGCTAGCCTCAGCCTGACCCCATCCCCCGCAGGACTGGCAGCAAGTACACGTGGTGACCTCGTCTTCTGGGGTAGGCTGTAACATGAGCCTAAGCAGAAGATAATTGGGAAGGTTGGTCTGTTGCTGTAAACAAAATGCTTTCCACGACCTGGGATCCATTATTTTTGGATTATCTGCCTCCTCAGTTCTCTGCCCGCCAGCACCCTTCTGTTCCCAGGTTCTAGAGCTGGTTCAGAAGTTGCCTGTGATTTCTGTGAAAATGAGTTGGAAGGAAGGACTCAAATCATAAGACATTGAGCCTCTGTGACATGTTCAGAGTTCAGGGACCATGGATATGAGCCACAAATTGCTGTCACTATTCCTAGTACTGATCACTGATAGTAGTTATTGCTATTGTTGATTAGGCTTTTGCAATAGACTAGACAGTGTCCCATGTAGCATCTTCTGTGATCTTCCTACAACCAGGTGGGTGTTAGGGACAAGCTGCCTCAGAAAACCCCCTCCACACA